CCACAAAGGAAGTAGCTATTTTTAAAAATATAAGCAGACAAATACAATCATTCTGGAAAAAATCTTGCTGCAAGAGATGCAGATACAGTACTTTACATATGACTAAACATAATAGTAATAAAATAAACAGTTCAAATAAAATTTACTCTGCACAATATCCAGGATCAATCCATAATATGGAAATAAACTGCTTCTTCATAAAGAGAAAATATCCAAGACTGCTTTTTAAAAACCAAATGCTGTAGAACATGTTGATGATTTGCTTTTCATTTGGATAATTGTGGTTTACTGTATTCTTTTATGTATTTAGAAAGTTAATGCTGGTTTTTCTTCATGCCAAATCAAGCATAGGTGTGTAGACTAATTCCCAGCCATTTTCTTAATGTGGATTGCCACATAAGCCAAGACTTAGCAAAACGGTGCTTGTAGGCAACATGGAACGTGCACCTCTGTTGTATTCACAAATTAAAGGGCATTTTTAAAAAGGCTAATATCTTGAATGACTTGGATGACTCAAGAAATGTGGGTATTTAAGGAAGAACATCAGTATTGTGTAAATTTTGATTTATACGCAGTTAGTCCCCAACAAGATCACAATTGGGAGCAGAATTTTCATTGTAAGCCATCGTAAGTTGAGTTGGACCCATTTTGCAATTTTTAAAGATGGACTTTAAGCAAATTGCATGTCATTAAGCGAATCCAACTTCCCTGATGCATGTTTTTTCACTGGATATCAGCAAAAAGAGTCACAAATTACAAATAGAATGCTGCAATGTGTTTGATCAATTTAATTTATTACAGACATAGACCAGAGACTGCAATGGGTTTTAAATATGAGCCGGTTGCCAAGTACTCAAATGGGAATGGTACAATAGCTGTAAGTGTGAGTATAGGCTGTAAGTCACTTTTTTAAAAGTCAGTGTAACTTTCATTGTTAAATGAATGGTTGTAAATCAAGAATTGCCTGTAGTTTGTAGACCACCAGCAGGTCCCTAGGAAGCAGTGAATGAGCATATTTAAGGATAACAGGTAGTCCTCAACTTAAACTGTTCACTTAATGACTGTTCAAAATTACAGTTGCACTGAAAAAAGTGACATATGACCATTTTTCACTTATGACTGTTGCAGCATCCCCGTGATCACATGATCAAAATTCAAACGCTTCGGCAACTGGGTTCATATTTATGATAGTTGCAATGTCTTGGGGATCATGTGATCATCTTTTGTGTGTGACCTTCTTACAAGCAAAGTCAATGGGGAAGGTGTATTACTAACTGAACAACTGCAGGGATTCACTTAACAATCATGGAAAGAAAGGCCATAAAATGGGGCAAAACACATTTAACAAATGTTTCATTGAACTACATAAATCTTGGGCTCAGCTGTGGTCATAACTTGAGGGCTACCTGTATTACATTAGATTTCTATAGTGCCTTTGCAGCAGTTTCCTGTCTAGCATTGCAGAAGAAGGCTAGGAGTTAATACACATGGATCATTAGCCATAGATCAGGGATAATTCATCAATTGTACTTAGAGAGGACTAAATGGATTATATCACTGTCAAATCATCCTCTGTTTACCTGCTCCAGTTCAAAATTTTGCTTTACATTTTAGCACTAGCTGTGCAATGTGGTTCACCTGTGCCACCTTTGATCAAAATAAGATTACCTATTAGCCATCTGAATTACCACAGTGCAGAGAACCAGAGAAATAAATCCTGGAGAGAAGAAGAAATGTGGCAAAGGCAGAATATAATTGAATTTAGCTGTTGCAGTGTTGAAATAGCATTTTGCCTTTTCTTCTGATTCACGCCTGGCCGTACCAATGTTCTATGACACCTCCATGATTGTGTTGGTGATGATGCAATCGGAGTCAGATTTCTGCCCATTTTCTCTTGGCCCTTAGAGACTGTTGTGGTCGTTACCACTTACCTCTGGACATTTTTTTCCAGCTGCATTGTTCTGGAAGAAAAAGATTAGTTTGCCATTGGCATTGTAGAGATGTTAAATAGAAATGGGGAATGTATGAAGGTTTTGGCTCAATCTCTCCCACCACCATTCCCACCACTACATGCAGAGAATGAAGAAGGTGATTGTGTCAGAAATATGCAACAAATATTACCTATGAATAGAGAGCTGAAAGAAAATAGAAAGAAATAGAATTCTTTATTGGCCAAGTGTCATTGGACACACAAGGAATTTGACCTGGTGCAAATGCTCTCAGTATACATAAAATAAAAGATATATTCCTCAAGAGTCAAGAATCATTAGGTACAACACTTAATGATAATCATAGGGTACTGTAAGCAATCAAATCATACTAGGAAACAGTTAATATAAATCGTAAGGATACAAGCACTAGGAACAAGATAATATTTGGAAACAGTTCAGACGACACCTCCCTAATTCACTTAGATCTAAGAAAGAAGAGAGATAAAGTACAACCAGATTTGCCAGATTCTTTTATTACAGTCTATGTCAATAAGTTCTAAACTTCCCGTGGAGTTAATTTTTGATTTGATCAACCTAGAGAGTCTCATCCCAACTGATTGCAGAGAAAGAGGGAGAACCAGGACAACACTTTTTTCCACAACTTTCCCCCCAAAGGGGAGGTTAGCAAACAGTTGGAAATTACCTTTGGATCTAGCATTGATTTTACTTTAATTATTTAGCGATCGATATTTATACAACTTAGATAACACTTGGCAATTTCTTCAGGAGGAAAGGCAGAGGCAAATGACAACACCAGGAAAAAAACATCCAACAATCTAAAGGGGCTTCATTCACCCTTGGAAAACCTGTGACAAGTTCAGACCCACAGAAATAACAGAACAAAAACCCTCTCTTAGCCCCCTACTCAGCTACAGTCCAACTCAAGAGTGGTTCTAAGTAACCATCCTATCCATCAGATGCCTATAATGATTTGCACCCAAAGAAGAATCTTCTGCCTGATTTGATCACCTCCAAGTCAGATCTATAACTACTGCCCCTCACTACAGTTCATTTCTGTTCAAATAGGTCCTGAACCTGTCCACTATATCTATAAATCCTGCCGTCTATAATCCAGATGTCAAACTTTCTCCAAACAATTAAGCATAATAATCTGTATGGATGTAATTACAGTTAGAAACTGTGCGGGAAACATTCCAGAAGGAGGCAGTGGCAAACCGTTTTTGCACTGTTAGTAAGAAAACTACAAAGATTGTCCATGAAAACATAAGAAATCAAGCTTTACTTGGAAGACATGAACCTTTAGTGTCAGCTCAGTAACTTCTTTTCTACTGTACAGTATATGCCAATACAGGATAGAGCACATCTAATAAATGTTATCACTCAAATTGTAAGGATAATATTATACTTCAGATTGCCTATCTAAAGCCCCATAGAAAAAGGAAAACAGAATACAATAGGCAGACAAAACTTAATTAGAGCCTGGAGGTAATGGAATCTATCCAATTTAATCTCTGCCAAAGCATTATGTTTTTCAAGATGCACTAGTACACAACTTTGGTGAATATTAAATAGATTATATGATACAAGAAGAAAATGGATCCAGAAAATAACATACCAAAAGTCCAGGTAGGTTTTTTCTTTTAGATTTATTTATTGTATTTATTTATTTTGTCAAGTGATTATAAGATAACAAGTATTAGTATAAACATAGTTATGAACACATGAAATACATATAAGAAATATATATAAGATACATATACGATGCATACAAGAAAAATAAAAAGAAATAATAGGACAGGGACGGTAGACATTGGTGCGCTTATGCACGCCCCCTACAGACCTCTTAGGAAAGGGGTGAAATTCTTTTAGATGAAGTGGATGATTGCAAATTATTATGTTAAAGGTAGAGAAGAATATTTGTACCGTGTTTCTCACAAAATAAGGCCAGGCCTTATTTTGGGGGGGGGAGCCCCCCCAAAACGGCTAGGACGTCTTTTCGGGAGTGAATTAATTTCCTCCCACCCCCCGCGCACCAGCGGTTTCTCCAACAACAGTGTCTGAGTCGCTCCCGCTTTTCCCCTGTCCCCCGTAACAACAGGAGAAAAAAAGATTTTGAGGTACCTGGGAGCGCCGCACGCTGCGTTTTGGTTTAATCCCGAGCGGCTGGGTGGGTGTGAGAAGAGCCAAGCGAGCATCTCTGCTGCTGCTACCCTTGGTGCTCCAGCCTTGGGCTTCCTATTGTGGGGGGGGCTGTATTGTTGGAGAAACACGGTAGCTCAGGGTTAAAATGAGCGCTCCTTGGTGCTCTCTGAGCTTGGTTGTTTTCAGGCTAGCATTGAATATTACCTAGTTTATGTAACGAAACACCTGCAAGTTCGCTTGATAGATGGCTAGTGTACAAATTTATTAAACAAATAAATAATAAAATAAATACATTTAACAGGAAAGACTGAAGTGGTCGTTGTTTGGATGGAATTGGGGAGCTCTTCAAAGAAGAACTTAGGGAACAAAAGGCAACGTTGAGTTCTTTAACCGTTTTTTTTAATAGAAACCCAATAAAAGAAAGATAAACTAGTTTTCCTCTGTACTGCATTCCGGTTTTTTTAATTACATGTCGCTGATTTACGCTTAACGATTTTTTCCCACTCCCTTAGTGTACTTTGCTAAGATTGCTTACAATACTAACCAAAAAAAGCGAACCGCGTGTTTGGGTGTGTGTTTGGGTGTGCGTGTGTTTATCGGTGTATCGTTATATACAGTACCTATTGGCAGAGGGCGCGAAAGAGCAAGGCTGGCTGTGAGAACTAGCGGACTTCAGACTCCAGAAGCCCTTGGCGGGGTTCCTGCCAATCATGGAAGAGCGCCTTGGCGCTAAGGCTGCCGGGAGTTGTAGGCATCGCTGTCCCTGAGTGGTGGCTCGGGAGCCCTCGAGCCCAGCCCAGTGGGAGGGACGGGCTCAGGAAGAAAGGGCAGACAGGTACCTTTGCGATCGGCCCTGCAGGTGACAGCAGCCGAGGGAAGGGGGCGGGGGAGGGCATGCGAGGGGGAGGGCAGATTCGGCGTCGAAGAAAGAGGAGGCCCGGGAAAGGGCGGCGGGTGCATTGCAAGCCACAAGGTGGAGAAGCGAGTCACCGCTTGGCCAGCCCCCGGATTGCCGCTGGGGCAAGTGTGCGATCGATCAGCCTTTTGCAAGCAACGGGGAAGGAGCGCGAGGTGGGCTGCTTTCTTTTCCCGGCTGGGGCCCGACGTGGCTTTTGAGCGCGTAAAGTCTCTCCGCTTCTCCGTTAGGAACAGGAGGCAGCAGCGGAGGAGCAGGTTGGGTGGGGGGGTCTGGTGGAGGAAAACCCCACGCCGCTTACATCCCGCTTTGTCCCTCTCGGTCCTGTTTCCCAAAGTTGGAGCTGCCTTTAAGATCATAGTGGCAGAGCCGGTCATAGAAATAACAGTAATAACAATAACAACAGCAATAACAACAGCAATAACAACAGCAATAATAATAATAATAATAATAATAATAATAATAATAATAATAATAA